ATTTTACAAGTGAGGAAACTGAGGCTTAAAAAGATTACGTGGCTGCCCACTTAGCTAGTAAGGGGCAGAACTGAGACTCAACTACAAGTTCAAAAACACACCGAGTTCAAATCCCCGGGAAATAAATGACTACACACTGCACATAAAGGAGGAAGAAAATAAAATGCAAAATGACGAGGTTTCTGTTCCCATCTTTCTCAGAGCTGACACAGCTACCTGCTGTCACTGGCATTCCTTGTTACAACAGCCTGACACTTCTTGATTTTTGCCTTTGATTTTTTATAGTTGGAAACTATGTTCTCCAACTACAATGCCTTCCCCTCCTCTGCCCATCCAGAAGGATCAGTTTAGCTGGTCCTTCAACTCCAACCCCAACTCAAACTTCCCATCTCCTGAGAGGACTTCCTCCCTTACCCTTATGTCTCTTAGTCCATGTACTGCCTGGAGTCATCTATCCACCCACTATTCACCCACCCCAGAGCATGAGTTTACCATGGGTAAAGTAATGTACTCAGCACTGCAGTTGTACAAAAGGGATATGAACATTATGTTTGTGTAGGGACAGAAGACATAGAAAACTGCTGTTCATTTCATGCTGTCAAGGACTTGGAAGTGTTTCAGATCTATACTTAATCATTTGCTGTTTTATGTATACAAGTGCTATTGTGAATGGCCACCTGCTTCACATCATTGGAAATTTCTTATATTTCTTCGATAAGTTTCCGTTCGTCCAACAAGAATTGGTTAAACTCCTACAAGGCACAGCGTTAGATGCTACAGGGAATACAAATAGATACTAGTCCCTTCACCTGAAGAAATAAAACAGATACGCATACAAGACAGAACATATGACAAACCTATATAAATGTTGCACATTGTGGCAAGTGCTAGAAGTACAGGAACAAAATTACATAATAGGTTTTCAAGGAAAGATTCAGGTTTTCCCTGTATCTAAGCTGAGCCTAAAGCATCAGAAGAATCCTTGAAGGTGAAAATAGAAGTTAAATACTAGAAAAGAAAGACTCATGCTTAAGAGATGTGCCAACTGATGATTTTCTAACAAATAAAAAAGTCACTTCAATAAAAAGCAAACTTTAGTTCACCCTAACAAGTTTAATGTGTGAAAAATATTTTGATGAGTAATAGGCCAGGGGCAGTGGCTCACACCTGTAATCCCAGCACTTTGAAAGGCTGAGGCAAGAAGACTGCTTGAACCTAAGAATTTGAGACCAGCCTGCTGGGAGGGAGGGAGGGAGGGGAGGGGAGGGAAGGGAGGAAGGAAGAAGGAAGGAAGGAGGAAGGAAGGAAGGAAGGAAGGAAGGAAGGAAGGAAGGAAGGAGGAAGGAAGGAAGAAGGAAGGAAGAAGGAAGGAAGGAAAGAGAAAAAGTCAACTGGGCATTGCGGCATGCGCCTGTAGTCCCAGCTACTCAGTAGACTGAGGAGGAAGGATCATATGACCCCAGGAGGTCAAGGCTGTAGTGAGCTGTGATCGTGCCACTGTACTCCAGCCTGGATGACAGAGTGAGATCCCACTCAAAAAATGTATATCTATATGTATCTTGATTAGAAATAAAACGGTGAAAAAGAATATTAAAAGGAAGATTTTGATGTGCTATTCTGAGCTCCCAACTCTTGGAAGCCAGTTGGCTAAGAAAAACAGCAAGAGGTAGTGGACGAAATTATAGGCTATTGAGCTATTTCTAGCTATTAGTCTCAAAAAACCCCAAACAATCCTAAAGATTTATTTTATTTGTATTAAATATACAAACATTTCTAATTATTTAGTATTAAAAATCATGCCCTGTTACTGAACTTTTAAGGGATAAAGATACTACTTAAATGCAAAAGGAAAGCATAAGTATTAACTTCAGTTTAACAATAATCAAATAAAAAGCAAGCATAGGTATTACCAAGAATTTATTCTAATATAGTTCTAGTGGACATAAGACTATTCATTAATCCTAATCTAATTAAAAATAAACTTTTTAAGTTCATATTTTCCATATTGATACTTAAAAGTATATGGCTTACTGTGCTGTATAAATAAGTAATTTTGTGATAACGTTTATATCTGATCATAACATTTCATGACACTCAAGTGTATTTATCTCAAGACTGCATATGCCCCCATATGTCAAATTAAAACTTTATGTATACTAATCTCATTCTAGAGAATAAAATTCAAACAAGCATAGGGAATTCATTTTCCACAAATCATTCGAATTTTCTAGTTTTCTGGGCTAGATTGATAGAATGGGTTAATAAATGGATTTTTTTTTTTTTTTTTTATGAAAACAGAAAATAAAGGTGTCCAGCATAGCCAACTAAATTCCTTAAGGACCCAACCCTTCCACGAACAACAAGTATAAATTCTGGACAAAATTTAAATTTTTGTTAACCAGAAGTAGCCCAAAAATAGGAAAAAGGCTAAGCAAACTAATAGTCAAACAACAGAATACTACTGAACAATAAAAAACAATGAACTTCTGATACATGCAACAGCATAGCTGAATCTCAAAACCATTACACTGAGCAAAAAAGCCTTATACAGTAAAATATGCATTATTTCTTTCATATGAAATTCTAGAAGAAATAAATCTATCAAAAGTGGTAGTACATACCAAAAGCAAAATAAGAATTTAACAAATAATGCTAGAATATGCTGATATACAATTATGTTATCTAGAATTAGGTCAAATGAGAGCCCTATAAGACTACTGGTAGGTTAGACCAATGTCAGGTATACTAGGTTAACTTCTGAGAACTACACTTTTAACAGATACAGGTAAACTGGAATATGTCTTAAGCAAAGGTATAGGACTTGAAGCTGTACTACCTAAGTATAATGGAAGAAACTTCAAACATTTAATGTGGAGAAAAGAACTCAAGTAAACATGGTAGTGAACTTCAAAATGTAAGGTACTGTCACAAAAAAGAAGAATCGCAATTATTCTGGAATTACTATTAAGAATTAGATAAAGCCAACTGATAGAACTACAGAAGCTACAGGAAAACAAAATCAGTGTCAATATAAGGAAGACTTTTCTGAAAGTTAGATATAACCACAAGAAAAAAGATAAGGGAAGAAAGAGGGTACTGTCTCAATAAGGTGTGGCTATCCAAAATACAATAATAACTCTGTGGAAGACTGAAACAAATATAACTTAAAGACCTCTTTCAAATCAAAGAGCCTACTATAAAATAAAAGATAATTTTTATAAGGCTGTCATAACAAGTTTCAGATGGATTAAAATAGTCATACCAATTTCCAACACAGATTTGATATGATAAAATTTACATATGAATTTTTGAGGACATAAACATTCAGTTTAAGAAGGTATAAATAGAAGATTTAGAAGAAAAAAACACAAATGGCCAACGTTTTAAAAATATCCAACCCACAGTAAATAAATACAAATTAGAACAAGTGATATGTAAATAATAGCAAATTAACAATAATTAGGCCAGATGTGGTGGCTCCCACCTGTAATCCCAGCCCTTTGGGAGACTGAGTTGGGATGATCGCTTGAAACCAGGAGTTTGAGACCAGCCTATGCAACATAGCAAAACCTCATCTGTACAAAAAAATCAAAAAATTAGCCAGGCATGGTGGTGTGCACCTGTAGTCTCAGCTACTCAGGAGGCTGAGATGGGAGGATCCCTTGAGCCCAAGAGCTTGAAGCTGCAGTGAGACATGAACATGCCACTACGCTCCAGCCTGGGTAACAGAGTGAGACCTTGACTCAAAAATAATAACAACAATAATAATAATATTAATAAGTAATTTGAGTTTAGTGCTAGTAAAAGGGGTGTGGCCAAACAGATACACTCCCAGGGGAAGGAATTAATTTTCAAAATATTTTCAAAGAAGTTTGGACAATTCTGCAATTTGCATCAGCAATTTTTTAAATGTTTATACTTTTAGACCTATTAAGTGCATTTCCAGAGATAAATCTAAAGTTCAGAATACCTGCAGCACACAAAAAAATCTTAGAAACACAGTTGTTCATTGCAGATTTATAATACCGAAAAAAAAGGAAACAACTTCAATGTCCACTGGTAGGTCAATAGAGAAGCAAACTAAAGTACATCTAACCACTTATTCAAAATAATTTTTACTGAGTACCTGTTTGTCAACCACAATGATAGGTGCTGAAAATATTAAAAATAATGAGAGGTAGTAATAGACTAATTTGTAACCATTTAAATAATGTTTGTGAAGAATTTCAATAAAATAAGGACATGTTTACAATATACCCAGCAAACAAAGCTAAATGTAAAATTAAATAAACTGGTTGCCTCTGAGTGGTAAATTTATGAGTTAATTTTTTCTTTTTCCTTTTTTTTTTTTTTGAGTTGGAGTCTCATGCCATTACCCAGCCTGGAGTGCAGTGGCATGTTCATGGCTACCCCAGACAATCCTTCCGCCTCAGCCTTCCAAGTAGCCAGAACTATAGGCATTACCATACTTGGCTAATTTTTTGATTTACTGTAGAGATGAGGTCTTGCCAAGTTGCCCAGACTGTTCTTGAACCCACAGGTTCAGGCAATCCTCTCACCTCGGCCTCCCAAAGTGCTGGGATTACAGGCTTGAGCCACTGTGCCCACCCACCCCCCTTTTTATTTTTGAGAGGGTCTCGCTCTCTTGCCTAGGCTGGTGTAAATGGTGTGATCATAGCTCACTGTAACCTCAAGCTCCCAACAGCTAGGACTATAGGTGTGCGCCACCACACTCAGCAATTTCCTCCCACCCCCCACACCTCAGAGAGACAGAACCTCACTATATTGCCCACGCTGGTCTCAAACTCTGGGCCTCAAGGGATCCTCCCACCTCAGCTTCCCAAAGTCCTGGGATTACAAGTGTGAGCCACCGTGTCTGGCTGTTTCTTCCTTCTTTACGTTTTTCTAAACCTTCAGATTTTTCTAAATGAATTTTACAGTTTTCCTTCAGAGCTATTAATCCAAATGTTTAAAAACCTGTCACAATCATGATAATTTACCTGTTGCAATAGTAAACAGCATTATTGGGATCCATTTCTATTGCCTGTGTGTAACAATCCACTGCAGCAGCATAATTTTCTTCTTTCATGTGGTTATTGCCTAAAAGAAAGTAGCCAATATGTAAATATAACAGATAGGAAAAATTATAAACTCTGGCAGATACATTTTAATCATAGAAACAACAGTAAGATCGGTCTCGTGATTTTTCAGTCCCAATGGAGATAAGTTCTATTTTGTACCATAGAGTTATTTCGCTTTCAGTGTATTTGACTCATTGTAACAATGCAGAGTTTTAAGAATTAATGTTTGGACACCTTATAAAAGCCAAGCTTAAGTGAGTAAAAGCAATACTTATGACTATCTTGTGGCAAAAGTGAATCCTTTCTCACCACTCTTATCTTCATCTCTCTCTTCCCTTTGAGAACTCCCCCAGCAGATGCAACACCCTCCCTAATTACCATCTCAGTCTGGACCTGGGCTTCCATTCCTCTCAGTCAAAACACACATCTGCTGAATAATCAAGCTCTCAGAATTCTGCTGTGGGTAAGCTGGTAAAACTAATCATGCTAGCATGATATTGGTAGATAATATTTTTATGTGCTATCCCTTCCAGAGATAGATTCTTTGTAAAAGAGGATTTGGGGAGATTAATTTCTAGAAAGATAGAATTTCAGACAGTATGGTTAGCCTACAAAGTACTGATTTTCAGGAAGAGCATCTGCAGACACATCTGGCAATAATTTAGCTAAGTAAACAACTGGTCAGCAAAATAAAGGATTTCTTTCATATTCCATTAAATGGAAAAAAAAAAGTGTCCCGCTCACTTATGAGAACCATTGTTCAAAAATGAGACTATTAGAACAATTGAGATTATAAAAGGAAAGACTTATAGCCCAAAGCCTCTATGATTCCTCCCAGCTCTCTCTAAACCGGAAGCTCTTCTGTTAGCCATGGGCTTGGTGTTTTTTTGGCTTTTTTGTTTTGTTTTTTGAGTCAGAGTCTCACTCTGTCACCCACTCTGAAGTGCAGTGGCACGATCACATCTATTGCAGTCTCGACCTCAGGTGATCCTTCTGCCTCAGCCTCCCAAGTAGCTAGAAGTAGAGGCACGCACCACCACACCTAGCTAATTTTTTTGATTTATTGTGGAGAGGAGGTCTCGCCATGTTGCCCAGGTCAGTCTCCAGGGTTAACTCCCAGGTTAAGGCAGTCCTCTTGCCTCCACCTCCCAAAGTGCTGGGATTACAGGCATGAGCCACCATGCCTGCCTTCTGGTGTAGCTGTGTTCTTAATAGATCATTAGCTACTTCATAGAAGGAGGGAAGTGTTAATTTGCAGAGAAAAAAACCATGAAGATTAAAAGAAAAGCATGAGATAAAAGCATTTAAGCCATAAAAAAATTACTGCAAATTACAAATCAGAAATGAATATAAAGAGATACTGCTAATGAATACATGGTTTCTTTTTCTATAATTGACTGTGGTGATGATGGCCCAACTCTGAATACACTAGAAACCGATGAATTGTACACTTCAAAGAAGTAAACTGTATGACATATGATCTCAATAAATGTGTTTTGTAAGTAAAAAACATTATTTTGAACCAAAGAAATGAATATAAAGCCTCTAAGGAAACTGAGAGGATTACATAGTTTGTTTTTTAATCAAGCAAAAAGTTAACAACATTAGTCCATATGTTTAAATATATTTCCATGTCAAACATTTAATTTTCCATGTTATTGAGATTTTGTTATTGCTGCAGGGTCTTTTTTGTCTTGGGTGGCATTTTATGATTACTACTACTAAAAGTTTATTGTATGCTTTTTCCTGTAAACCACCTTAAAAGTGTAGATACAATAAGGTAACATATCATAGTATACATATATGTAAATACATATATATGTCATAAACATGACATATATATGTATACTATGATATAAGTTAATAATAAATAACTTCAAGTTGGTTGGGCGTGGTGGCTCATACCTGTAAAAGGATCCCTTGAGCCCAGGAGTTCAAGACCAGCCTGGACAAATAAAGTAAGACTTTGTCTCTACCAAAAAAAATTTAAAAATTAGCCAGTCGTGGTGGTACATGCCTGTAGCCCTAGTTACTTGGGAGCCTGAGAAGGGTTGATTCCTTCAAAGTTACATATAGTGAGTGGTGATTGTGTCACTGCACTCTAGTCTGGGCAGTGTAATGAGACCCTGACTCAGAAAAAGAAAAAAAAAACTTCAAGTCACCAAATATTTAATATACAAAAATTGAGGACACAAATGAAGACATCTGTAAAAAAAAAAAAAAAAAAAAGGAGATAAATAAAGCATTTTATAGCTACATGGTTACATGGTATTCTCCTATAAAACTGTCTCCTTTAATTCACAACCCTATGAGATTTACCTATACTTCTGTGCCCTGTCAGAGAATGAGAGCAAGGAACATTTCTTGATTTATTCTCATCATACTGCAGCTTTTCAGGAGCAAAGAGCACAAGATACTTGAAAGCAATGTTCCAGGAAGGTACTCAGCTGGCTAGAAGCCCTGAATAACACAGTCAGATAAGTGACTCAGATGAGTGCAACATGTAGCCTGGAATGACTGTGTGCCTGACAATCTACCATGGCCATTTGTTTCACACAAATAGTAAAGTCTGGGTAAAAAAGACAATCACTTTAATTATTTAAACAGATCAGGGAGTGTAAGTGCAGTTTTGTTACGTAGACATATTGTATAGTGGTGAAGTCTGGGTTTTTAGTGTACCCATCACCTAAAGAGTGTACGTTGTACCCATCAAGTAATTTCTCATCCCTCATTGTGCCCACCCTTCAGAGTCTCCATTGTCTTATTAATCCACTCCCTGTGTCCATGTGTACACAGTCTTTCGCTCCCACTTATCTATTTATTTTTTGGGAGTTGGAGTCTCAGTCCATCACCCAGGCTGGAATGCAGTGACATGCTCACGGCCACCCCAGCGACAACCTGTTGGGCTCCAGTGACCCTTCCGCCTCAGTCTTCTAAGTAGCTATAACTATAGGTGTGTGCTACCACGCCCGGCTAATTTTTTTGATTTATAATAGAGATGAGGTCTCACCGTGTTGCTCAGGCTGGTCACAAACCTAGGGGCTGAGGCAATCCTCTCACCCCGGCCTCCCAAAATGCTGGAATTACAGGCTTGAGTCACTGCACCTGGCCTATCTCTCATTTATAAAAACATGTAATATTTGACTGTTTCTGAGTTATTTCACCTAATCACTTTAATTTTATATGTAATATGTCTTACATATGACAGGTGTTAGTGAAAATAAAGAATAGACGCTCTGGTTGAAGGCAAAAGCAGTAAGTAGTCTAAAAATTCAGTCTACCTATGCTGCAACAGTGAGTCCCACCCCCCACATCCCCTACCTGCATCTTACTAACATTCATTATATCGAAACAAACTCTACAGGGCATACAATCTCCCAACATTCTGTCACGTAGAGGGAGTAAATGTGAGGGACAAAAATAAAATTTCAATTTGCCATTTACTCAACATTATGACTAGAGCTGCAGAAGTAAAACGTTAGTAGAATATACACTTTACCAGTGAAGACTTCACACGCTACAAAAACCTGTGTGGGGAAAAATCATATTAAACTATTCCAACTAGAAACTAATATATGAAAAATGCATTTGTATTGGGATAGTTTAAGTTCAAATTCTTTAGGGAATATTGTAACTCAAATGACAGTGAGGATCTGGTGACTTATTTATTTTGCATGTAATTTATGAAAGTCATACTATTCTAAGGTTTTAAGGCACTGTGGTGACATCATTTCTTAGAGAAAATTTTTAAAATGGAATACTGACACCCATCTACTCGTTAGAAATGCAACACTTTATAATGTAATCCAAAGAAGATAATCACAAACTAGTAAAAAGAAATACAGACAAAGATATTGAAGATAGGGTTACTTATGTTTACAAATGTATCTGCTAAGTAAGCAAGCCATGGTCAAACAGTACCGTGTGACATTACATAGTCATTAAAAACAGCGATTACAGAGATAGAGAAATGTCTAGGCCCAAGGAATAACAAAAGCATACTCTTTTCCCTGTCTAGCTTTTAAGATACCAAGTGTTTTGTTTGTTTTTTTTTTTAACTCAACAGTCTTCTTCAGGGGATGAACTAAAGAAAAGCCAGAAAATAATTCTGTGTGTAGCTTCTAAGGTTTTAGAAGCTTATTCCCTAATAACTCTCTGGCTATACATAGGGCAGGGAATGTATTGTGTCTCAATCACTGCAAAAGATAAGGACCATGTCCTATAGCTTTGTAATGCAAACTTTGTAGGCCTGACTTGGCTCTCCTCTATAACTTAGCATAATTGACATAATGGAAAAATTGAACACAGATCCTCAACAGCAACTTATTTATTGAAACCAAGAATGCTTTAACAGGCCAGCTATTATAACATTTAGCAATATAGTCATCAAATGTGCTAGCAGACAAACAAGCCAAGTGCCATATGCATGCATTAACAAATTTCCAAGAACTCAAAAACACTATAGATATGAAAGTCAAAATAATACTGAACATTTTTTTCCCTCTCTTTATTTAAACATAAAGGAGAATATGGGATCCTAGAGTACAAGTAGCAGATACAGTTACAAGGAATCAGTCCTTGTAACTTTCAAGTTTTCTTGAGGTCTTTTTTGGTTTTTTTGGAGTCAGAGTCTCACTCTGTCATCCAGGCTGGAGTGCAGTGGCATACTCACGGCCATTGCAGCCTCAAATTGCTGGGCTCAGGTGATCCTTCTGCCTCAGCCTTCCAAATAGCTGGAATCACAGGCGTGCACAACCACGCCTAGCTAATTTTTTGATCTATTGTGGAGATGAGTTCTCACCAAGCTGCCCAGGATGGTCTGGAACCCCTGAGCTCAAGCAATCCTCTCGCCTCAGTCTCCCAAACTGCTGGGATTACAGGTGTGAGCCACCACACCCAGCTTTTCTGCAAATTTTACTCACAACAGACCTGCTTCTCCTGAAGCCAGCCACACCTACACTGCCCACAGCAATTGTGCATTTCCAGGTTTTTTGTGCATCACATTCATTTCCGTTTCATAAATGTCATGTGCACATATGACAATTCAGCCTTGGCAGTGTAAGCCAGAGTATATCAATTGACAGTTCCTTTCTCCAGAGTTTCAGAGTTTTGTAAACTCTCCAGAGTTTCAGTTTACAAAATAAGTAATTTGTATATGAAATATTCACCTTCATCTTTCAATTGGTCAGCTTTTCCCACATCTTCAGGCACTGAATTTGAGAGGGGTAGAACATCATTCTGCAATTAAATAAAAATCAGTGTGCTTCCCTTTAGTTCCATAGAAAGTCATCCTAGAATACTATAAAGTAATAATGAATTACCCACATTTTAAGTAATCTAATTCCATGATGAAATTTAAAACCTAAATAATAGTGTAAACAAGATATAGGGCAAAAGTCCTCTCTCATACTTTTATTAGAAATATATGAATATGTGGAATTATTACAGAAAATAATAGCCAGCTGTAAATTAAATTTTTTAAAAGTTTGTTTTTTCCACATGCAGCAATCCCATAAAAAAATAGAAACAGAAATATAATCAAGTGATTGTTTATATTAGTAAAATTTTGAAACAAAGTATTATATCTAAGAGATATCCTAAGTCAAAATCACAGTTTACAAAACAAGCATTTATAATATGGTCATATTATTTAAATACATTCGCACACAAATTAAAAAACAAAGACTGGAAAGATGTATATTAGAAGAAAGATTTTTCAGGCTATCTATTTTATTTTCTTTACATATTGTCCAAATTTTTTAAAATAATGAGCATATATTAATTTCACTATAATATTTTAAAAAACATTATACAATTTTTAAAGCACCTATTATTATCCTCAAGCTTCTTTTTCATTAATAAGGTTCAAACCAAAGGTGTTTATGAAAACTAAATTAAAAATTCAGAAATATCTTGAATGGGGCTAGGTGCAGTGGCTCATGCCAAAACGCCAGCACTCTACAAGGCTAAAGTGGGAAGACTGCCTGAGCCTAGGGGTTCAAGACCAGCCTGGGCACCATAGCTTGCCTCCACAAAAAAATTTTTAAAAATTAGCTGGGTATGGCACATATACTCCTGTAGTCCCAGTTACTCAGGTGGCTGACACAGGAGGAGAGCTTGAGCCCAGGAGATGAAGGTTGTGATGAGCCATGATTGTGCCACTGCACTCCAGCCTGGACAACAAAGTGAGACCCTAACTCGAAAAAAAAAAAGAAAAAAGAAAATAAATAAATAAATATATATATATATATATATATATATATATAT